GCAGAGTGGTCAGAAGTTTAAAATTCTGAGAACAGATGGTGGAGGTGAGTATAACTCTACAGTGTTTCAGAAGTTTTATGAGGAGAGTGGAATAGAACATGAGGTTACTGCTCCATATACTCCTCACACAACGGTCTCGCTGAAAGAAGAAACAGAACTTTGCTTGATATGACCAGAAGCATGCTGAAAGAGAAAAAGCTACCTCACGTGCTATGGGGAGAAGTTGTTGCCACATCAGCATATATTCTGAACAGGTATCCAACGAAGAAACTGAAGGAAGTTGTTCCTTTAGAGAAATGGACTGGAGATAAGCAGAGTGTCAGTCATCTGAAGGTGTTTGACTCTGTCTGTTACAAACACGTTCCAGAAGCTAGAAGACAAAAACTGGATGATAGAAGCAAAGTAATGTTGTTGGTGGGGTACCACAGTACAGGCGCGTATAAGCTTTATTGTCCATAAACTAATAAAGTTGAAGTCAACAGAGATGTTGTGTTGAAAGAGTCTGAAGCATGGGATTGGAACAAATCTCAATCAGATTCTGGTGTAATACCAACACCAGAGTTAGCCTCTGAAGATGTTTTAGAAAGTTCAGAAGATGAATTTGATCCTGAAGATTTTGAAGATGAGTCAGAAGAAGATTCAGGAAATGGATCTGATTCTGATCCAGATGCTGATGATGATCCAAAATCTGGTGGTGATCATAGTTCTGGAAGGGAAAACTCTGAAGGTGGTAACTCTGAAAGTAATAGTTCTGGTGCAGTTTCAGAACAAGCTCAAAGACCATAGAGAATCAGACAAAAACCAAGAAGATTTGCAAATTTTGACATGTTGCAGGATAATGAAATTGACTCTGAAGGAGAAGTCGTTCAGTGTGCCATGTTCGTAGATTCTGAACCAGTGGGCATTGAAGAAGTTCTCAAGAAGAAAGAATGTCTTAATGCCATGAAAGAAGAACTTGAGGCAATAGAAAGAAACAAAACTTGGAAATTGGCTAAACTTCCAGATAAGAAAAAAGCCATCAGCGTCAGATGGGTTTTTAAGTTGAAACTTAAGCCAGATGGTTCCATTGGCAAGCACAAAGCTAGACTACTAGCTAGAGGTTTTCTTCAGAAACCTTGGCTAGATTATTTTGAGGTGTTTGCGCCTGTAGCTAGGCATTAAATAATCAGACTGGTGATTGCTTTAGCTGCAAACAGAAAATGGCCTTTAATGCATCTGGATGTGAAGTCTGCATTTCTGAATGGTCCATTACAAGAAGAAGTTTATGTGTCACAACCTCCTGGATTTGTGAAAAAGAATCAGGAAGGGATGGTATGCAGGTTAAATAAAGCTCTGTATGGACTGAAGCAAGCGCCTAGAGCTTGGAATCTGAAAATTGATTCATTTTTCAAGAAGCAGAGGTTTCAGAAGTGTGAGATGGAATATGGAGTTTATGTACAACACTCTGATAACAATATGATTCTGGTGTGTCTCTATGTTGATGACATTTTGCTAACAGGTAGCTGCCCAGAAGATATAAAGAAGTTCAAAGAAGTTATGATGAATGAGTTCGAGATGACAGATCTAGGAAAAATGACATATTTCCTAGGGGTGGAGATTCTGTACTCGAAGAAGGGTATCATTCTGCATAAGTTAAAATACGAACAAGAACTTCTGAAAAGATTTAAGCTGCAGAATTGCAAAGTTGTTGTGACACCATCAGAAACCAATCAAAAATTGGATTCTGACTCTGATGGTGATTCTGTTGATTCAACAACCTTCAAACAGTTGGTTGGTTCTCTAAGGTATTTATGTAATACTAGACCTGACATTTGTTATGCAGTTAGATTGGTTAGTAGATTCATGAGTAATCCAAAGTTGTCTCATTTCCAAGTTGCTGTCAGAATTCTAAGATATATTAAGGGAACTCTGAGATATGAAGTGTTGTTTCCTTATGAAAGAAAGACAGAATAAGAATTAGTAAGTTATTCTGATTCTGACTAGTGCGGAGACAGAGTGGACAGGAGAAGTACTTCTGGATACTTGTTTAAATTTCTGAGAGGTCCCATTTCCTGGAGTTCCAAGAAACAACCTGTCGTGGCTCTGTCAACATGTGAAGCTGAGTATATCGTAGGTGTTGTAGCTGCTTGTCAAGCTGTTTGACTTCTGAATCTCCTGCATGATCTGAAGGTTGAAGTTGAGGAACCTCTGAAGCTGATGATTGATAATAAGTCTGCAACTGATCTTACCAAGAACCCAGTGCTACATGGAAGAAGCAAGCACATTGAGACGAAATATCACTTTCTCAGAAGTCAAGTGCAGAAAGGAGTGTTAGAAGTTCTGCATTGTAGCACTCAGAAACAGCTTGCAGATCTTCTGACAAAGGCAGTTAAAACATATCAATTTCTTTGCTTGAGAGATGAAATTGGTGTTGTTAACTTTTGATAGAAATATCTAAATTAAGGAATGGTATTGGAAATATAATTTAGTTAATGTCTACAATTCTCAATACTTATTCTTTAATAGGGCCTTTTGGCATTTTTATTTTTAGTATAAATATGCTTCATAGGCTATCAATATTGTAACTCATTCATTCCTCTTTTGATATACAATAATAGTCCTATTTGTTATCATTCATTACTCATTCTTTTTCTCCCCTTTCATTATCTTGCACCAACAAATCTCACATTAGATAAAAAGTGTGAATATTAAATACCATATATATATATATATATATATATATATATATATATATATATATATATATATATATATATATATATATATATATATATATATATATATATATATATATATATATATATATATATATATATATATATATATATATATATATATATATATATATATATATATATATATATATATATATATATATATATATATATATATATATATATATATATATATATATATATATATATATATATATATATATATATATATATTAATATATTTAATATGTTCTTTCTAAAAACAACTCAGGATTTCCAGGATCCAATTAATAACATCTTCAAAGATATTGTTAGATGGTATTGATCTCTAGTCTTTATTTATTATTAACAAAATTAAATTAAAAACATTTTTTTAATTTCATAAATAAATAATTACATTTAACAATATTACATTGTTATATTATTTATTACTACCTCGTCTCATTTCAATTGTCTTCTAGTATAATGGACAGATTTATCAACACACACAAAAATTGAAATAGTTAAAGTCTCATACATAATCCATTAGAAACAAAAAAATGTAAAAAATAATCGGTATACAATGGAGGTTATAGAATACAACTTAAGGGAGGTTATGAAAGTTGAGTTGTCTAATCTTATATATTTATTTTGTCTGTTGAGTTGGCTAATCTTTATTGACCATATTTTTTATTCAGATAAAAATATATAATCACTGTTTTTAAAAAGTGACAAAGATCACGTAAACAATAGATTAGGTAAGTAATTACTGTAATTACATCAATCAAAGTAGGCAGGGTTTGTGATAGAGATGTAATTTAGCTAATTAGTTATGAAAATTAAGTAATAATTTGCCAATTAAGCAAGTAATTAATTACTGCAGGGGTACGAAACTAAGTTCTCAAAAATCCACGAATAACTTGCCACCACCAAACTCTAAAAATCTCATCTAAAAGAGAAAAGGAACCAAAAAAAAGTCACAAAACATTTGTCCACCTCACCAAGCATGTGATACACTTTTCAACAAAGTTCAACCTTCCAATGACTATTTAAATATTTATTTAACATTTTTTATATTTAAACTAAGATTAATATATAATAAAATTTATACATAAATAAAAGACAAATCAACAATACACTATGTCTCTATCTTTTTTTAATGATAAAATTAATATTTATAAAAATTATATTAAATAATTTAAAAGATACAATATTATTATATATGAATTTTTAAATTATTTATAAAAAATCAATTATTATTATGATCAGAAAATTAAAAATGACAAAGATAAAAATAGGAAGAATAAGTGAATACACGTCCATGTGCAATGTGCAATGAGAGTGGGAAGAAGACAAATAAAAAAAGTGCATAAAATAATAATAAAAGAAATAGCAGCTGTTAAATTTATATTATTAATTAAAGAGGGACCAAAGCAGAAGGAAAGTCCTAAACTTTTCTTTTGAGTAGGAAAAGGACATGACCCCACATCCATTATATATTTTTTACTCTTTTTGTTTGCACTTTTTATCAACTTTTGATTATGTCACCCTTAATTTAACCATACACACACATCAAACACCATTTCCATTATTATTCCTCTCATCTTTCTAAAATAATATCTAACCTACAAATAATATCTTTCCCTTCCTACTCTCTTATCTATCTTCCTTCACCTTCAACTCAAAAAGAGAGAGAGAAACACACAACTACAAAAGTCTTCTTAAATATCTTGCATAAAGTTCACTTGCTTCTTCTTTAAGACTTACAGATCTTGTCCTTGTGTTTTCCTTTCTTTAAGGTAACTAACTAACTTTCCCTCTTTGCTTTTCATGTTTCATCAATATTAAGGTTTTTTTTTATAGTTGATGTTTTTTTTTTGGGAATTTTAGGTAGTTGTTTTTCCTATTTGATTCTTGAATTAATTAGATGATTTGTTCTTGATTGTCCTGTTCATGTTTTTGTAGGTATATGATTTTGTGTTAATGATGTTTATGATTTTTTAGTTATTTAATATTGATCTGTTACTTTTAATTTAGTCCATAAAGTTTTTTTCTTTCAATTTTTTGTTCTTGTTTTGATGATGTTGAAAATGAAAATTTCATTTGGAGGGTACCATAATTTTGTTATATGACATGTTTAGTTGCTTTGAACTTTTTCTTAATTTTTTTTTATCTTGGCTGCAGTTTTCCATAATCCTTGTGGTATGAAATTATTGCTAACTATATTGTGTTTTTGCAGCTTCTGAATTCACAGTATTGAAATTTTGCTATTTTTGTCACAATTATTGGACTAAAGTTGGTTTAAAGATGGGATACATATGTGATTTTTGTGGAGACCAGAGGTCGATGGTGTACTGCCGATCTGATGCAGCGTGTTTATGTTTGTCGTGCGATCGAAATGTTCATTCAGCGAATACGCTTGCTCGAAGACATTCGAGGACACTTTTATGTGAGAGATGCAGTTCAGAGCCTGCTTTGGTTAGGTGTTCGGAAGAGAAGATTTCACTTTGTCAGAATTGTGATTGGTTAGGCCATGGTAACTCTACGTCTTCCAATCATAAGAGGCAAACAATCAATTGTTACTCGGGATGTCCTTCGTCGGCGGAACTGTCTTCGATATGGTCTTTTGTGTTGGATATTCCTTCTCTAAGTGAAACTACTTGTGAGCAAGAACTTGGTTTCATGAGTATTAACGAGAATAGAAGTGCTTGGGTTGATCCGAAAAACCAGAATGCGTCTGATTCGGATAAAGTTACTGATCGGCCTGATTTGGATAAATCTTTCGTCGGTACATCTTCAATGCCCGAATCAAGCAAAGAACCGCAGATGGTCGACCTCCCTGATGGACCTTCCAATGAACGTGCGCCAAAGGTATATGTGAATGTTATGTTGTCATTTTCATTTTCATGTGGATGGCTTAATCAAAAGGCCATTTGTTATATGTGAAATTCTCACAATTTCATCGAATTATTACATAGCTAACACTTATTGTTGATCTCCAGTTATACTGTCCTGCTACAAAATGCCCTGAAATTAGTGAAGATGATGATGATTTGTATGGCGATTTCGATATGGATGAAATGGATATAAATATGGAAAACTATGATGAACTTTTCGGTATGGCCCTCACTCATTCTGAAGAGCTTTTTGAAAACGGTGGATTTAACAGCTTATTCAGAGCAAAAGCCATGTCTGCTGGAGATTCCAATTGTCAAGATGCTATAGCTGCTGAGGTACTATATATTCTTGTAATCATTGGTTTTTCTAAAATTTGATTCCATCGGCTTATTTCAACTTATCTACTGACTTAAGCACTTGTGAAACTGTTTTAGAGAGCTTAAGGAAACAAGCTATGATATGTCTGTAAATTGCTTTCAGCTTATTTCTACAAGCTATCAAGCATAGCTTATGAAAACAGCTTATAGCATATATGAAAACTATTTGATTTGATTTTTTGTTTTAGAAGTAGTTTGAACAACTTATTACAATTTGTTTACAGTTTCAGTTAATTTTAAGTAGAGTACTTATTTCTATATCTAACTTTTATGTTCAGGGTTCATCGATTGGACACGTCAATGCAGCGCAACCAGCATGCAGCAATGCAGCATCAGCAGATTCCATATTGAGTACTAAAACTGAACCGAATTTTTGTATTACGACAAAGCAATCCCAATCAAGTCTTTCTTTTTCTGGTATTAATGAAGACGGTTGTGGTGGAGATTATCAAGATTGTGGAGCTTCTTCAATGTTTCTCATGGGAGAACCTCCTTGGTTAAACACTTGTCCGGAGAACGAGCTGCAGCTACAATCTGCTAACCGCTGTAGTGCTGTTATGCGATACAAGGAAAAGAAGAAGACACGCAAGTAAGTAATTTTGTAACAATGAGTGAGTTAGTCTTGTTTCAAAACTTCAAACAGTGTTTATATTTGATTTAACATTGATTTTTATTATGTTATAGGTTTGACAAAAGAGTGAGGTATGCATCTCGCAAGGAAAGGGCTGATGTACGAAGACGCGTGAAGGGCCGGTTTGTCAAAGCTGGCGAGGCATATGATTATGATCCTTTGAGCCAAACCCGAAGCTACTGAATGTACAATTTTTAACCATCTCTTTTAAAAGAAAAATTTTACCTGAAAAAAAGATCAAACTTGATGCATTCTTTTTCCATGTAATGACAAACTATCTTATTTTATTACAGGGGTCTAGCTTTCTTCAAGGACGAAAAAAGGTCTAAGAACAAGACTCAGAAGCTGATTCTCCGTCCTTCACTGCCAAGCATAACGATACTGTTAAGCTTGGCAATTTTTGCTTCTTTATTCTTATCTAAGAATTGAGAAGTGTTGTAGGTTCTCCATGCCCCATGTTTGCCATGTCCTGTGTTATAGTTGCGTCTCGAAGTGCCTGAGAAGGCATGATGATGAGTTTATTAATTTGACAGTTTCCAGATAAACTGCAAAAGTTGTATATTATATAGCACACCACAATCTACATGTATGCAGTTAGATGTATAAATTTGCAATGGATCTGACTCAGACAAACTGTAAAGGATATTGAATGGGATGGTGTAGTATTATGTATAGAATAGGATATCATGTATGCTGCTCTATATTGGAATTCTACCAATACAAGTTTTGTTTGTTACTTGATTTTAATTTGGTTTTCTTGATACTCTTTTTTACAAGTACAAATCAAGTAGTAGGTTCTCTATTCTTAGCTTTTTAGAGGTTCTACGTTGGTTAGCTATGATTTAACCATGAAAAAACAAATAAGAATTGTTGTGAATTCAATGCCAATAACAAAGTATAAAATAAGGGAAGAATAAAGAACAAGGAAGAAGAAGAACACAATAATTGGTTATAACTGCTATTCTTTACTTTCTCTTAGAAAACAAGATTACAAGTTTACAAGAATAACAAATAACCCTCTCACCCTAAATTAGGATTTGCTGTGTTGGCAATGATGAGAGACTAGTATGCTATTTATAATAAAACCTAACATACTAACTAATGGGCTTTTTCCACAAGGCCCATTATACAAGCTAACTTAACAAACAAGCTAACTTAACAAATTAGGGTTTAAACACTAAAACCTAATTCGACAAGCATCCTTCGACAAATACATGCTAGAACCTTCTTCGACTACAGCAAGTACTTCGACCAACTAGAGTTCGATCCAAAATCCCACAAATCTCCACCTTGGACCTAACTCTACAGCATCAAGAGACACTAACTAGCTTTCTTCATGCAGCTTTATCAACTGCATACAGTGGAAAAACTTGCAACTTGGCAATGTTTTGGTGATCATATCAGCAGCATTGTGATCTGTCGAGACCTTCAGCACTTGGACTTCTCCACGCTCGATTACCCCTCTGACGAAATGCAGCCTCACATCTATGTGCTTGGTTCGCTCATGATAGGTTGAGTTCTTCGACAGGTGTATTGCACTTTGACTATCACATTTAACAGTGATACCTTGACCTTGAAGTTTTAGCTCCTTCGCAAAACCTTCAAGCCACAATGCTTCTTTCACAGCTTCAGTTAAGGCAATATATTCTGCTTCAGTAATTGATAAGGCAACAACCTTCTGAAGAGTTGCTTTCCAACTAATTGCTGTACCAAACATAGTGAAAACATATCCAGAAATAGATTTTCTGGAATCCATACAGCCTGCATAATCAGAGTCAACATAGCCTTCGACTGCTGCTTTACTATCTTCACCCAAGGCTCCACCATAAATTAAGACTCTGTTCAGAGACCCATTTATGTACCTTAGAATCCACTTTAACGCTTGCCAGTGAGCCTTTCCAGGATTCGCCATGTACCTGCTTACAAGACTTACTGCATATGCTATGTCGGGTCTAGTACAGACCATAGCATACATCAAAGAACCAACTATATTAGCATATGGGATGTTGTTCATATAGGTTCTTTCGACATCAGTACTGGGACATTGATCAATGCTCAGCTTGAATTGAGGGTTTGTTGGAGTCACAACAGGCTTTGAATTCGTCATACCAAACTTGTCAAGAATCTTTCGTAGGTATGCCTCTTGAGATAAGCATAATTTCGACTGCTTTCTATCTCTTCGAATGTCAATTCCAAGAATCCTAGATGCAGCTCCCAGATCCTTCATGTCGAACTCCTTATTGAGTTCAGCCTTCACCCTCATTACATCTTCGACATTGTTGCTTGCTATCAGAATATCATCAACATAAAGCAACAAAATAACAAATGAATTTTCAGGTCGAAATCTGGAGTAAACACAGTGGTCGAACTGACTTCTAATGAAACCTATGTGTTCCATGAACTTGTCGAATCTCTTATTCCACTGTCGAGGAGATTGTTTAAGTCCATATAAAGATTTCTTCAGTTTGCACACATAATCTTCTTTCCCCTTTTCGACATACCCTTCAGGTTGCCTCATCAGGATCGTTTCATCTAAGTCACCATACAAGAACGCAGTCTTCACATCCATTTGTTCCAGTTCAAGGTCGAACTGAGCCACCATGGCAAGCAACATTCGAATGGATCTGTGCTTCACAACAGGGGAAAATACATCATTGAAGTCGACACCTTCTTTCTGAGTGAAACCCCTTGCGACTAATCTTGCCTTGTACCTCTTCGACATTACTCCTTCAATTCCTTCCTTAACTTTGAAAATCCACTTACAGCTGACTAACCTTGCCCCAACAGGTTTCTCGATTAGTTCCCAAGTGTGATTATCATGAAGAGATTTCATCTCATCATGCATGGCCTTTAGCCATTCAGTCTTCATTCGACTCCTTATAGCTTCCTTATAATCTCTAGGTTCTTCGTCTAGAACTTCACTTGCAGAGATTAAGGCATAAGCTACAAGATCTGCATATCCAAGTCTCTGAGGTGGTTTTATGACTCTTCTTTGCCTATCTCTCGACAATAGGTAGTCATCAACAGTTTCCTCAATATCATCAGAATCTTCTGTTTCTTCTTCGACTTCATCTGGGATACGCATTTCAGCATTAACATGCTCCACCTCAACAGGAATCTCTACCTGTTCCAGCTCTTCGTCAACATCATCAGTTTTCTTTAAAGCCATTTCAGTTTCATTGAAAACTACATCTCGACTGGTGATACACCTCCTGTGACCTGGCTCTAGGCACCATAGCCTATAAGCTTTCACTCCTTCAGGGTATCCCATAAACATGCATTTCAGAGCTCTAGGTTCGACCTTGTCTTGCCTAATGTGAGCATAGGCTACACAGCCAAATACTCTTAGTTTGTCGAGATCTGGTGGATGTCCCGACCAAACTTCTTCAGGTGTCTTCATATCTAACGCTGTCGAAGGACATCTGTTTATCAGATATGCTGCTGTCGAAACAGCCTCAGCCCAAAACACCTTCTTTAATCCCGCACTAGTCAACATGCATCTAACTCTCTCCAAAATAGTTCGATTAAACCTTTCAGCCAAACCATTTTGTTGTGGAGTACCTGCGGTAGTTCTGTGCCTTGCAATACCAGAGGCAACACAAAAACTGTCGAACGCCTCATTGCAAAACTCAAGGCCATTGTCGGTTCTCAACCTTTTTACCTTTCTGCCAGTTTGATTTTCGACAAGAGTCTTCCAACTTTTGAAATTCTCAAAAGTTTCATCCTTAGTCTTCTGGATGAATACCCATAACTTTCTGGAATAGTCATCTACTATGGATAGAAAATACTTTGCTCCTGAATGTGATGGACACCTTGCAGGCCCCCAAAGATCAGCATGGATGTAATCAAGGGATCCATGTGTTCTTTGTTTGCCTTTGTTGAACTTCATTCTACAGGATTTTCCAAGTACACAGGGTTCACAAAACTTCAGCTTTTCGACTTTATCTCCACCAAGCAGATTTTGTTTCCCTAATTCGACCAGACCCCTTTCACTGACATGGCCCAATCTCATGTGCCAAATTTCTGTCTTCGACAAAGGTTTCGTGGATGCAACATTTGTCGAACCACTTACAACTTCAGCCTCAAGGGTATACAAGCCTTGTTTCTTCACGCCTCTCAAGACTTCCTTCGACCCTTTCATGACTCTCAGGATACTTTTCTCTCCTTGAAAAACATATCCTTTCTTGTCGAATTCACCAAGAGAAATCAAATTTCTCTTCAAATCAGGTACATACCTGACTTCAGTCAACAATCTTATTGACTCATCATGGAGCTTGAATCTCACAGATCCAACGCCTGCGATCTTGCAAGCTTTGTTGTTTCCCAGCAATACCGATCCACCATCTTGATCACATAATTCCTCGAACAAGTCTCTGTTTGGAGTCATGTGCCAAGTGCATCCAGAGTCCATAATCCATTCCTTCGATGAGTTTTTGCTTGAAACCACAAGAACATCAGATGATTCGAAATCATCTTGGACAATAGCTGCATTGCCATTATCCTTACCTCCATGATCTTTCAGGCGTTCAGGGCACACCTTTCTTGTATGACCTACTTTCTTACAGTGATAGCATCTAATACCAGATGTGTCACCACTATAAGACTTCGACTGATTTTTACCTTTCTTCTTGTCGAATTTTCCTTTAACAGCCAAACCTTCACCAACCGTCGAAGGTTTATGCTCCTTACGTTCGTTCAAATCCTTAGAGTACAAAGCCGATTGAACTTCTTCAAAGGTCAGGGACTCTCTTCCATACAAGAGGGTTTCTTTGAAGTGAGCATGTGATCTGGGCAAAGCGCACAATAATAACAGCGCTTGATCTTCATCATCAATCTTTACATCAATATTTTCAAGATCAAGAATCAGCTTGTTGAACATATCCAACTGCTCAGCCAACACTTTGTCTTCAATCATCTTGAATGAATACAAAGCTTGCTTTAGGTAGAGTCGATTTACCAGAGATTTGGTCATATACAAACTTTCAAGTTTCACCCATAACCCTGATGCTGTCGTCTCCTTTGATACCTGTCGAAGAACCTTATCACCAAGGCTCAACAAAATTGCGCTGTGTGCTTTCTCGATCATGGCCGTCTTCTCTCTTTCTGTTAGCGCAGCGTCCATCGCCGTCGCTCCCTTCAACGCTTCCAAACAACCCTGCTGAACCAGTAGGGCTTTCATCTTC